ACATTGAAACAGTTTTGCTCCATATATCAGTGGAAGAAAAATACTTTGGAAATAAACTTTGAAGATTTAAATCAAGTTTTCATTTGATTTTGGAATAAATTGCTATTTGAAATGCTTTAAAAAAACACCTCAAAAAAAAAAAAAAGGGCCAAAAAGTTGTTGACGAAGCCAACAACACGCGGTGTTCCCAAGCGGTCCCCCATCTAAGTACTAACCGCGCCCGACGCTGCTTAATTTCGGTGATCGGACGAGAACCGATGTGTTCAGCGTGGTATGGTCGTTGGCGAAAATCGACGGGCTAAGCGTTGGCCTTATACTCCGAACTAGAGACTGCCTTTGCCTATACTTAAACCATTTTCTAACCAAGACAACATTTAACTTGCCTTTATTTTATTTTCGAAACATTAAAACATTGAAACAGTTTTGCTCCATATATCAGTGGAAGAAAAAATACTTTGGAAATAAACTTTGAAGATTTAAATCAAGTTTTCATTTGATTTTGGAATAAATTGCTATTTGAAATGCTTTAAAAAAACACCTCAAAAAAAAAAAAAAAGGGCCAAAAAGTTGTTGACGAAGCCAACAACACGCGGTGTTCCCAAGCGGTCCCCCATCTAAGTACTAACCGCGCCCGACGCTGCTTAATTTCGGTGATCGGACGAGAACCGATGTGTTCAGCGTGGTATGGTCGTTGGCGAAAATCGACGGGCTAAGCGTTGGCCTTATACTCCGAACTAGAGACTGCCTTTGCCTATACTTAAACCATTTTCTAACCAAGACAACATTTAACTTGCCTTTATTTTATTTTCGAAACATTAAAACATTGAAACAGTTTTGCTCCATATATCAGTGGAAGAAAAAATACTTTGGAAATAAACTTTGAAGATTTAAATCAAGTTTTCATTTGATTTTGGAATAAATTGCTATTTGAAATGCTTTAAAAAAACACCTCAAAAAAAAAAAAAAGGCCAAAAAGTTGTTGACGAAGCCAACAACACGCGGTGTTCCCAAGCGGTCCCCCATCTAAGTACTAACCGCGCCCGACGCTGCTTAATTTCGGTGATCGGACGAGAACCGATGTGTTCAGCGTGGTATGGTCGTTGGCGAAAATCGACGGGCTAAGCGTTGGCCTTATACTCCGAACTAGAGACTGCCTTTGCCTATACTTAAACCATTTTCTAACCAAGACAACATTTAACTTGCCTTTATTTTATTTTCGAAACATTAAAACATTGAAACAGTTTTGCTCCATATATCAGTGGAAGAAAAAATACTTTGGAAATAAACTTTGAAGATTTAAATCAAGTTTTCATTTGATTTTGGAATAAATTGCTATTTGAAATGCTTTAAAAAAACACCTCAAAAAAAAAAAAAAAAGGCCAAAAAGTTGTTGACGAAGCCAACAACACGCGGTGTTCCCAAGCGGTCCCCCATCTAAGTACTAACCGCGCCCGACGCTGCTTAATTTCGGTGATCGGACGAGAACCGATGTGTTCAGCGTGGTATGGTCGTTGGCGAAAATCGACGGGCTAAGCGTTGGCCTTATACTCCGAACTAGAGACTGCCTTTGCCTATACTTAAACCATTTTCTAACCAAGACAACATTTAACTTGCCTTTATTTTATTTTCGAAACATTAAAACATTGAAACAGTTTTGCTCCATATATCAGTGGAAGAAAAAATACTTTGGAAATAAACTTTGAAGATTTAAATCAAGTTTTCATTTGATTTTGGAATAAATTGCTATTTGAAATGCTTTAAAAAAACACCTCAAAAAAAAAAAAAAGGGCCAAAAAGTTGTTGACGAAGCCAACAACACGCGGTGTTCCCAAGCGGTCCCCCATCTAAGTACTAACCGCGCCCGACGCTGCTTAATTTCGGTGATCGGACGAGAACCGATGTGTTCAGCGTGGTATGGTCGTTGGCGAAAATCGACGGGCTAAGCGTTGGCCTTATACTCCGAACTAGAGACTGCCTTTGCCTATACTTAAACCATTTTCTAACCAAGACAACATTTAACTTGCCTTTATTTTATTTTCGAAACATTAAAACATTGAAACAGTTTTGCTCCATATATCAGTGGAAGAAAAAATACTTTGGAAATAAACTTTGAAGATTTAAATCAAGTTTTCATTTGATTTTGGAATAAATTGCTATTTGAAATGCTTTAAAAAAACACCTCAAAAAAAAAAAAAAAGGCCAAAAAGTTGTTGACGAAGCCAACAACACGCGGTGTTCCCAAGCGGTCCCCCATCTAAGTACTAACCGCGCCCGACGCTGCTTAATTTCGGTGATCGGACGAGAACCGATGTGTTCAGCGTGGTATGGTCGTTGGCGAAAATCGACGGGCTAAGCGTTGGCCTTATACTCCGAACTAGAGACTGCCTTTGCCTATACTTAAACCATTTTCTAACCAAGACAACATTTAACTTGCCTTTATTTTATTTTCGAAACATTAAAACATTGAAACAGTTTTGCTCCATATATCAGTGGAAGAAAAAATACTTTGGAAATAAACTTTGAAGATTTAAATCAAGTTTTCATTTGATTTTGGAATAAATTGCTATTTGAAATGCTTTAAAAAAAACACCTCAAAAAAAAAAAAAAGGGCCAAAAAGTTGTTGACGAAGCCAACAACACGCGGTGTTCCCAAGCGGTCCCCCATCTAAGTACTAACCGCGCCCGACGCTGCTTAATTTCGGTGATCGGACGAGAACCGATGTGTTCAGCGTGGTATGGTCGTTGGCGAAAATCGACGGGCTAAGCGTTGGCCTTATACTCCGAACTAGAGACTGCCTTTGCCTATACTTAAACCATTTTCTAACCAAGACAACATTTAACTTGCCTTTATTTTATTTTCGAAACATTAAAACATTGAAACAGTTTTGCTCCATATATCAGTGGAAGAAAAAATACTTTGGAAATAAACTTTGAAGATTTAAATCAAGTTTTCATTTGATTTTGGAATAAATTGCTATTTGAAATGCTTTAAAAAAACACCTCAAAAAAAAAAAAAAAGGGCCAAAAAGTTGTTGACGAAGCCAACAACACGCGGTGTTCCCAAGCGGTCCCCCCATCTAAGTACTAACCGCGCCCGACGCTGCTTAATTTCGGTGATCGGACGAGAACCGATGTGTTCAGCGTGGTATGGTCGTTGGCGAAAATCGACGGGCTAAGCGTTGGCCTTATACTCCGAACTAGAGACTGCCTTTGCCTATACTTAAACCATTTTCTAACCAAGACAACATTTAACTTGCCTTTATTTTATTTTCGAAACATTAAAACATTGAAACAGTTTTGCTCCATATATCAGTGGAAGAAAAAATACTTTGGAAATAAACTTTGAAGATTTAAATCAAGTTTTCATTTGATTTTGGAATAAATTGCTATTTGAAATGCTTTAAAAAAACACCTCAAAAAAAAAAAAGGGCCAAAAAGTTGTTGACGAAGCCAACAACACGCGGTGTTCCCAAGCGGTCCCCCATCTAAGTACTAACCGCGCCCGACGCTGCTTAATTTCGGTGATCGGACGAGAACCGATGTGTTCAGCGTGGTATGGTCGTTGGCGAAAATCGACGGGCTAAGCGTTGGCCTTATACTCCGAACTAGAGACTGCCTTTGCCTATACTTAAACCATTTTCTAACCAAGACAACATTTAACTTGCCTTTATTTTATTTTCGAAACATTAAAACATTGAAACAGTTTTGCTCCATATATCAGTGGAAGAAAAAATACTTTGGAAATAAACTTTGAAGATTTAAATCAAGTTTTCATTTGATTTTGGAATAAATTGCTATTTGAAATGCTTTAAAAAAACACCTCAAAAAAAAAAAAGGGCCAAAAAGTTGTTGACGAAGCCAACAACACGCGGTGTTCCCAAGCGGTCCCCCATCTAAGTACTAACCGCGCCCGACGCTGCTTAATTTCGGTGATCGGACGAGAACCGATGTGTTCAGCGTGGTATGGTCGTTGGCGAAAATCGACGGGCTAAGCGTTGGCCTTATACTCCGAACTAGAGACTGCCTTTGCCTATACTTAAACCATTTTCTAACCAAGACAACATTTAACTTGCCTTTATTTTATTTTCGAAACATTAAAACATTGAAACAGTTTTGCTCCATATATCAGTGGAAGAAAAAATACTTTGGAAATAAACTTTGAAGATTTAAATCAAGTTTTCATTTGATTTTGGAATAAATTGCTATTTGAAATGCTTTAAAAAAAACACCTCAAAAAAAAAAAAAAAGCAAAAAGTTGTTGACGAAGCCAACAACACGCGGTGTTCCCAAGCGGTCCCCCATCTAAGTACTAACCGCGCCCGACGCTGCTTAATTTCGGTGATCGGACGAGAACCGATGTGTTCAGCGTGGTATGGTCGTTGGCGAAAATCGACGGGCTAAGCGTTGGCCTTATACTCCGAACTAGAGACTGCCTTTGCCTATACTTAAACCATTTTCTAACCAAGACAACATTTAACTTGCCTTTATTTTATTTTCGAAACATTAAAACATTGAAACAGTTTTGCTCCATATATCAGTGGAAGAAAAAATACTTTGGAAATAAACTTTGAAGATTTAAATCAAGTTTTCATTTGATTTTGGAATAAATTGCTATTTGAAATGCTTTAAAAAAAACACCTCAAAAAAAAAAAAAAAAAAAAGGCCAAAAAGTTGTTGACGAAGCCAACCCCCTTAAACCCCCCTGTGTGGGGGGGGTTTTTTGGGTTGTTTGGTTGTTTGGGGAAAGGTTTTTTTTTTTTCCCCCATCTTTTTCTTTTATTTATTTTTTTCATTTTATTTTATTTTCGAAACATTAAAACTTTATTGAATACAGTTTATTGGCTCCATAATATCAGTGGAAGAAAAATACTTTGGAAATAAACTTTGAAGATTTAAATCAAGTTTTCATTTGATTTTGGAATAGAATTGCTATTTGAAATGCTTTTAAAAAACAAAACTTCAAAAAAAAAAAAAAAGGCCAAAAGTTGTTGATCCATTTTTCAGCCAACAGGACACGCGGTGTTCGTTATGATAAAGTTATACTGGAATGCACGAAAAAATCAATGCGTAGTGTTCGTCTTGCTCGAAAAGTTTGTAGGCGAATTTCCCGCCGTTAAGGTGATTTAGACGAACGGGTCTCAGCGGCATGCACTCGAAGACTTTCTGGCCTTAATGCTCATTGCTCGTCAGATTCTGAGGCCCGAAATACCCTTTTCGCTTACGCTTAAGGATTTTATCATTTATTTACAAAAAATTAAATAGAACGAAAAACATAAATGATTTTCATAGGAAATTTTAATAAAAAGTTGAATTGCGATAAAAATAAAACTGCTTAAAAAATAAAAATTTCAATTTTATAATGTAACGAACATGTTTTATAAAGAAATGTACTTAAAATATCCTATTAAATTGTTGTTGATTTCTTATCGAACAATTAAAAGAGCAAAAAGATGAATTTTAGGAAAAACGTTTTTACAAAAATTTTTGTTGCAATAAAAATAGAAACCGTTTTGAAAAAAACAAATTTTAGTTTTGTATTACAATTTACACCTTTTAATAAAAAGAGTCATACAAAAACTTACCCAAACTTGACATTTTATTTTACACACTCACAACAGTTTTTTAAACTTTTAACTAGTCACTTGCAATTGTCAGCTTTATAGCATGTTTAATACTTTTTTGTATTCTGATTGGCATTTTTAATGAAACCTTTCATGCCATAAAATATTATACCAAAAAACCCGATGGATGGCCAGAGTGGACATGTAAATGGACATTCCGTGCGGTAGAACCATGTTGTGGTAAGGATCAAGGCTGAACCGTTCACCTTCATCCGGCTGAGAGCATTCTCGTTCTATGTACCCCACGATTGGATATTTCCTGAGTGTCTCGTTAACGACCTGAGACAGGTAGGGCATTTCCTGAATACGCTCGTAGCTGACATGGTCCTCGTCCCCAAAGAAGCCGGAGATTTCCTGCCGCAGGCGTTGCTGCAGTTTATCGTTCCTGGGCAACTCGTAAAGCGCCAGAGTCATTGTAGAAGAGCTGGTTTCGAAGCCGGCTGTCTGGAAAATGGCCGCCTGGGCCGCCAAGTAGTCCAGATCAATAGTCTTCGACGACTCCTCGGAATCCGCGGCAGCCTCCCGCTTTATAGCTAGAAGGATATCGACAAGATCATTCCTCTTTTGGCCGGTTCTCTCGCGCTCCGTCAGAACATAGTTAATGCTGCTCCGGATGAACTTCGTTGTTTCCTTTGAAAAAAGCTTCACACGCGCCAGCGGCGCCAATGCCGGAAGCATGAAAATGATGGCAAAGTCAATTGCTCGACCCAAGGTCAACGAGAAAATAGCCTTATTGTGGTAGAAGAATTCGCTCCTGGCATTCTGCAAAGCATTGGCCTCTAGACCAAAGGCAATAGTGGCTATCAGGTCAGTGGTAAAGCGAGCGCACAGATCCTTAACCTGGATGTTTGAACCGCTGCCAAGACGTTCAGCACTATCCTCAAGGTTTTTTCCAATCTGCAAAAATTATTCAAATTTAAGTAAAATACAATAACGATAAACAGATCAAGAACGTGCACTAATTAAATTCAATTATAAGTTCCAAATAATTATTCTTCTCATTGTTCGATAGAAGATAACATGTCCGGTTTTTACACTCACCTTCACCATCAGGGGATACATTTGCTTGATCTTGCCAGTGGTAAAGACCGGAGAGATCTTGGTTCGTAACTCCCTCCAAGCCGGGCTGCGAGCGAAGAAGAGGTTGTTGAATCCAAGAGCGTCATTGTGCGGGTTCGTTTGAAGTACGCGGTTGTTAAAGTATTGGAACTTCTTGATCATCACCGTTTTGATCAGGTCTAGATCGCGAATGACCAGAGCAGGGCGAAATGCCATGTACACACCAACGAATGGTTCATTTTCGAAGCCCGGAGCTTGGTGAAACTTTTGGATCTTTTCGAAGAACGGCACTCGGCCGGTTAGAAACTCGCGGGTGTTACCCAGAACGGGCAGCGATCGAATGCATTTCATCCCATGGCGCTACCAAAATGAATATGTCCGTTTTTGCCAAATATAAAAAACTATCGCTAATGTTCCGAAAAGAAATAGTAGTTCGGTCGACATGTTAGGAGCTTCGGAATCAAGGTGCTACTATACATGCGACCTCTTCGTTAAGCGCTTTTAAGCGATCGCCAGCGAGCAGGCAAAGTGTAGATGCTCTGAGACTATTGATTTTGAATGTTGTCGCTATAACAAGGGCGAACGATATAAAAAGATAACACTTTTAAAAATTTAGACTGACATTAGGGTAATCTTTCATTTCAAATTTATAAGCGAAGAGGAAAAAGTTACTTCTGAAGTATTATTGCAAGGTCAATAAAACATTGATATTATTCTTAAAATTTTAAAAACTCCAAAGTTTTTCCTAATGTAATTGAATTAAAATGTATTCAAGTGTTTTTGTTTCTTATTTATAAAGCATTTTTAATTAAATATATTTTCCACTTTTTTTTAAGTAGAAAAGTAGTAGAAGAGAGTAGAGTAGAGAGTATAAAACGAATAAAATGTATATATAACCAACACAGTCCGATTTTTTCCCGTGAATAAATACCCCAAACATGATAAAAGTATTTAAAGCGCAATTTAATGTTTAACACGGCAAATATGGCTCAAGTTTTCTTTGCTTAGGCTTCGTGACGTAAGCAAAACGTTCAATGAATCGCGAGTTGAGCCGATGCGAACTTAGATTTGATTTAAACGAGTCAGCGTGCGCTGTTAGACTTAAGCAAGCGTTGAGGGAACTCCCAGACCAGTATTATCGGAGTATAAGCGAACTGAAAGTGTTTGCTAGGCTGTGTTATCATCGATATATAATATATTATTTTGTTTGATCAAAAGCTGTTTGTCTTCTGTCCGGAACCGGTACGAGTTATCTGACTTCGCTTACACCCTTATATGCTCTTTTGTATCTAATGAAAAAACTCCCATGAAAGTACTAATCCGCGCAATCAAATTTATGTGGTGTTCTGGTAATTGGTAATTGTGGTAATTGAATATTATATTTGGGAACCTTTATATATAATATTCTTGTTATTATAAATAGCAATATATTATGTTATATGTTATCAAATAAATATTAATTCAATTGTACTCAACACATTTGTTATTTATTGCTTACAGTATTAAATTAGTTAATACATTTTTTGTCCTTATTCCTCTTTTTCCTTCAATTATAAAGGGTCCTTCTTAAATTAGGTTATTTTGTGGTTCAATTGTGTTAAAAAGCTAATCCATTACATTGATTAAAGTTTTTGGCCAGTTTTGTTTTCGAATCATTTTTAAAATGGCAAAACAAACTAAGTTTCATAAAAAAGAATCGATCCTGCCAGGAGTCGAACCTGGAATCTTCTGATCCGTAGTCAGACGCGTTATCCATTGCGCCACAGGACCGCGCTGCTGCGAATTGTCTAAAAGTCATAAAGAAATCATTCTTTCAATAAGTAATTTTTTTCAGACCTGTTTTAAGCGTGCTAGCTCAAATATAACATTGTTGAACTTTACCGCAAGCCCGGCTAGCTCAGTCGGTAGAGCATGAGACTCTTAATCTCAGGGTCGTGGGTTCGAGCCCCACGTTGGGCGGAATGAGATTTTTTGCAACTATTATTAAATATTAAAGTATTAAATATTTTTTTGTTTTTCATATATACCATTCTGAGTACTTAAGATAAAAATGACTATTAACCGATTTTATTAACATTCTTCTGGAAATTGACGTTTTGCAGCTATCTCTTTGTAAAATTTATGTTAATGGTTGCGTGAGGCTTTTAGCCCGAAATATCGGTACGTCTATAGGCATTGCGGTAAAATACTACTCGTATAAACAAAATAATTCTGAATGGTCGATAACCCAAATGGATAGAACTAACTAATAAAAATAAGCATCGATCCTGCCAGGAGTCGAACCTGGAATCTTCTGATCCGTAGTCAGACGCGTTATCCATTGCGCCACAGGACCACACAGCTCAGTGATGTCAAAATCTGCTTCCATAATAGGTAAGTTTTTGTGCAACTTTTGCACACCTTTATCGACATTTTTTTTGAAGCAATATTTTAATTTTCTCTTAGAACTTGATTCTCTTTGCTGACAAAAGATACCTTCAATTTAATTATTTTTTTTATAAATATCTATTAGACTTATTTTGTACAGTAAGCGCTATTTTATTGAAAATTGAATTGAAATTTCATAGTTTTAATCCGATGAATGCTTTTATCCCATTATCTTCTATCTTATAAGGATTAGTATTCATTTTCATTTATATTTTTCGTACAAAATTCGTTATTTTGAAAAATACTTAAAAATATAAATTCCGTAGAAAAACAGTGTAGCTTTTTGCATTCAAAACGAAATGCATTTAAAGAATGCAACTCCACCCCCTCTGCGAGACCAAAGTCTACAGCGACGCCAGCGCGCCGTCGGCAGCGAGTCAAAGCGTCACTAGAGAGGGAGAAAATCAGTGGGTCTCAGTCCGTGAGTGACTTTCGAAGTGTTCAGTTCCCGAGTGCGGAACTCGCAAATATTGGCAACTCAATAGTCCAATCTGCCGACGCAAAATACGTGTTTTTAGGTTTATGAAACTTTTTAAGGCCAATCGACATTGTGGTCCTGCAAAATACTACCGGAATATACGCTTAAAAAGCGCCAACATTATTGTTCGTGGGTGTATCGTACGTATGTGTGTAGTGAGTGTGCAATGAAAAAATGCAAGCGAGGAGTGGCACAAGTAAACAGAATTTGTGTTCAGCTCCGGTAAGTTGCAGCTTAAAACGCGTAAATCAACAAAATATATCCGACATTTGCATCTTTCTTTCTTTTGGCGTTTTTCATCTTCTCGGCGCTTCGTTAACTCTGTTTTTCACATGCTTTTTTGTTTTCATCATCTGCTTCGGCTGGAGCACCGAATAGGAAGTCAAAACGAAATACCGAAAGCCCAAAGATTGGGGCAAGCAGACCCCGTCGCCGTTTTTCCCCTTTTGCTTTTATTATTGTTATATTGTTGTTGTTTGTTTAGCTGTCGTTTTTGCTTTCCACTAATGTACATAGGCCCGTATGTGTGTTGGTGTGAGCTTGTGGTTCTCTCTCTCTGTCACTTAAGTTTACTCTCTTCTCTCTCCCTATGTGTCTTTGTAGGCCTCGGGAGAAGACCTACTGCCTCTGCCAGCGTCGCCACTAACTCGTTTAGCGTATATGTTATTTAATGTTAATGTAGGTCTACCATAAAAACCTACTAAAAATATGAAAATACGAGGGCCATCTAACAATGTATATTTTATCCACTATTGTATGTAATGCTATTTTTTTTTAACAATTTAACTTTGCTTTGCTTAGAAGACACCAAACGCATAAACAAAATAATGTTAAAAGGAAAAATAAAAAATCGAATCTTTAGTTTACACATGATTGACACCGTACATGCACATATACTTTCATATAAGCAACTGCATACTTACATGTATGTACATACATATATGTACATATGTTCCTGGGTTGTAATTTTATTTAACTAAAAAGAACAACTTTAAAAAAAAAAAAATTATAAATTTCAATAAAAAAAGTGTATTATAAATATTTTAAATTCTTAACAATTTCTTTTTCGTAAGAAGCTCAAAATTTGTATGCTCCTCAGGACAACATAATTTGAAAAAGTCTTGTTTGTCAAATAATATATGTACATATGTATGTACATCGGTAGAATATTAGTTATACGTATAGATGTAGATAATATTATTATTTTAAAAAAAGTGTGTCCTGTTATAAAAGGTATAAGTATAAACATTTATTTATGGTCAGTATAATAGCATAGTGCCGTGGCCGTCTGTCCGTATGTAACTTAATGGAAAATGAAATATTGGATAAATAAAAATTTTAAAATTAAATTACATTTTTTAACACTCCTTTCTAACCTTCTACATAAACATAAATTTCATACAAAATAAATTTTAGAAATACATAACTACATATGCACATATACAACAATATAAGTCTTATTTTTGTTAACACTCCTTACGCATAAAATGATAATATTTTGTTAGTCCTATGGCTTTTTTAACTCTGAACAAAATTTGGTTGTAAATTTCAGTAACTGGAAAAAAACGATATTTTTGTGTTGTTTTTAGCCCTAATAATCTGCTTAGTGGACTGCGGAGAAAAAGTCTAACAGGCCGAGAAGCATCGTCGTACCCTTTGGGCTGAAACTTCATCAAAAGACTCTTCTGCGAGCATTCGTTGAAAGCGAAAATAGCGCAGAGAATGGTGCTGAAGCAGAGTTTTCGACGCGCGCTCTGCCTGTCTTAAATGTATCTTGCAGATACATATCTAAAAACTGCCACATAGAATGTAGTAGAACCAGACACTAGCAACTAAATATAATGCGCGCGCTCACACCAATGCAGTTTCTTGAAATATCCCGTCTGCTGTTGGGCCGCTTGCAATTTCATTTTCATTGCAACTTCATGCCCCTGACATCAGACTGAATGCCTAAATGTCCGTCCTCTGCCCCTGGCGCTGTAACTGCCGCTGCAATTCTGCAACGTTTTTAGCTTACCATCTTTTGCAGCCTTTTGCGCTGTCTGCCAGTTTCTACGCTCATTCTTCGGCAATTGAAGTTCTTTATCCCCACCCCCCGTGTTTTTTTCTTGTGAGTGCGAGTGGGGGAGCTGCTTGCCCTAACCTACACTACAGCAAACTTATTGCGTCGGCTCGTTCCAAGACGGAGCCCTCATATCGCTGTATTTGTATCTATGCGGCATACATTCTTCTCAATATCTTTCCTACTGTCCTTGCTTCACTTCTTTCATTTCGTCATTAGTTTCTCATGCTTCGCCTTTTTATCGTGTGTGAAAACACGTTTCATTGATGCATTTTCCACCTCAGAAGAGCTAAATGGTTGACTTCCATTGTTTTACAGAGCCCATGTCCTCTTCAATTCAGTGAAAAGTCTCAGTAGCGCGCGATCGGTTCAAAGTACAATAAGAAACTTAAATAGACAATTAACTAAGAAATCTTAAAGGTATGTTTGGAAAATTAAATTTTAAGCTGAAAGGAAACTGTACCTTTGGTTTTGTAT